TCTGTGTGCTCCTTACACGACAGCGGTCTCCTAATTTTTGAATTTTGTCTCTAGTGTAGTCTTGGAGCTCAAAAGGTATCGGTACATGTACTCGTACCGAGTACTGTACTTGGTATCTGTGCAACCCTAGCAGTTACCATCCAAAATATAACAATTTATCAGGGGGAAGCTTCAGGATGCTTTTATTTCTTACTGTGTAAGAGTTGGAAGACTAAAAAGGTGGCCCATACACCTTACAATTTTTGATCGGAAATCTTTGTTGCTGCCATTTTAGCGCAAATAGCCCATAATGCACAGACCAATGTCGATTCTAATTCTTGTTCGTTAGTAATACTAACTCAACGAATTTCGTCGATCGCCAGAATGCACTTTTGTTGTGCATGTGCAGTAGTGCAGTGTTTTTATTGCAATTTTCTTCATACGAAAACGCCACTAATCCATCGATTTTCGTCCGCTTTGAAAAAAGTTTTCCAGCCTGACTGATCGAGGAAATTTGTCCAAGAGTACAGTAATTGTGATCGTTTGCTTCCCATCAACTAACCAATTATCATACGAATACCCGATCGCGTTTGTTTTCCAAACGATAATCGTAGGGTGTATGGGCACCTTTACAACGAAACCTTGGAAACCAGTTTCATGTTCAACTTAGATGAGGTGTCTGCTAAGATTACAGTTTAATGGTCATACAAAAAAAAAATTCCAGAAACTACCCTTTGTATCACCAAATGATTTGTGCAAGATTATTACCCAATTTGGACATTAAACTTGTGTTCAAGGCAGTCCCAGACAGTAATGTATATACATTAAAGGCCTGCAAGGAGCATCATAAGAGCCAGTTATATGACTTATTTAGCAGGCTGTGCCTTGAATGCAGGATCACCTTAGCTTGCGTATGTCGCACTACATTTTGACAACATTAATGTCATATTGGGGCAATGTGCTAAAAACTGGTAAACTGAGCAGTGAAAATATTCTTGCCAGAACATGAGCAGATAACCCTTTTAACCACTTGCTGACCGGGGTGTTGTACCCCCTTCCTGCCCAGGCCATTTTTCAGTAATTAGCGCTGCGGTACTTTGACTTTCAGATATGGAGGAGCATATGCCCTGCTCCCCCATGACTCTATGTCCAATCTCCGTTATTCGAAGGGAGTCGTGATGTGATGCCCCCACCTGCCCAACCACTGGTTCGGTAATACAGCCTATCTCGGTGCTGGCTGCAGAGGAGCAGGCAGCTGAAAGGGTGCGCTTATAAGATGAGTAAAAAGGGGGAGGGGATGCCCTTTCCAGCGACACTGTCACCTTGTCCTGCATGGGCAAAGTGATAGGGTCTCTTTAACCACTTGCTGACCGGGGTGTTAAACCCCCTTCCTGTCCAGGCCATTTTTCAGTATTCAGCGCTGCAGTACTTTGACTGACATTTATTCCGTCATGCAACGCTGTACTGCAATGAATTTTATACCATTTTTTGGGGACAGATAGAGCTTTGTTTTGGTGGTATTTAATCACCACTGCGTGTTTTTCGTTTTGAAACATCACCCCAATTTTTTTGTAAAATGTAAAAGTCGGGGTCACGTCGGGTAAATAGACCCCAAACATGTCAAGCCTTAAAATTGAGCGCACCAGCAAAATCGCAGAAAACTACAATACCCAAAATTTAACACAGACGACACTTTAAAAGATTTTACCCCTCATTAGTTTAGTGTTATCAGTACTTAATGGCCCTAAAATTATTGCTTTCACTCAGACATTCGCGGCGATATGTAACATGTGCGCCACAATGGGCGGAATCGTCGTTTTCAACGCATGTTTTCGTGTGTATGTGGGGAGCGGGGGACTAAAATAATTGTGTTATTTTACTTATTTTTTTTAAGCTTGTTTATTTTACTTTTTTTGCTTTAATTTTTTTTAAACTTTTTTTTTTACACTTAACTTTATAGCCATCACATAGGGGACTAAGAAATCCCTATGTGATAGCAAATTCACATAACAGGTCCTCTTTATGGAGACAACGGGGGTCTGTTCAGCAGTTTCTGCTGAACAGATCTGCTTCAGCAGTTTCTCACCGGCTTCTGTAACCGGAGAGTGACACTGAATGCAGGAAGTGATGTAATATACCGCTGCAGGAACCCAGTGGATCTCGGGTCCGGCAGCGGCGGTGACGACGATGTCGGTGGTACAAGTGATCGTGCGTGTCTAGAGACGCCCAATCACTTGAATGTAACCAGCCATCACTGGCTGTTTACATTTCTGTCAGTTTCCCCACTCGTGTGTGCGCTGAGCGTCGCACACGAGCAGGGGAGGGGAAGGACGTCTTAAGATGCCATCCTGCTCCTATAAGGCTCCCGTCCAGCCGTTCAGGAACGGCCATGGTCGGGAGGTGGTTAAAGCTGACCACTTCTGAAGCGGTTTTACCTGCCAAAGAATTTGGCTTTCTGTCTATCCAGTCTAGATGTTTAAAATCCTGCCAGGCTGGTAACCCGATTTTTTGAGTTTTTACTGCAGTGACATTAAAATGAGAACTATGGGGTAAGTGAGTTACACTCATCCTCATAGCTAGAGCTGAAGTGCGACATTGAAACTGTCACACGTCGGCTCTATCGGGAAGAGAGCGAAAATATATACCACCGATCATCTCCCTGCAGAGAGCGGTGACCGTCAGTCACCACTCCCCGCAAGGATTCCCCCCTCCCCTCTCTGATCTTCCAGTCCTGACTGAAAGGACAAACAGGGAGGGGAGTGGGCATAGCTTTCTCTACCTGTAGATTGACAGCGGCCTCTCCCTATCAGCCACCTGGGTGGGTGGCTCTCAACAGTATCATCGGGATCCGTCCCGGCTGCAGAGCTGTCAGCATATAGCGGGCAATAGCCCACTATATGCTGAGTTTTGGATCATGTGAGGACGTTAGTATATGTTCTCCTTACTACAGCCGAGTAATACACAAATGATAAATTTTTTGTTAATAGTTGGGGTACTTGAATGCAATTTTAAGATTTCACTCTTGAGTTTAGTGTCACTTTAAAGCAGTGGTTCTCAACCTGTGTAACCTCGGGACCCACATGTTTCCTTGGTCATTAAGGCGTGACCCAAAAATGATTTCATTTATGAAACATTTTAATTTATTACACAAAACAACTTGTGCAGTATTCAGCAATATATATTTTGCTGAAAGTAAATGAATTAAAAAAAATTAAAAAGTTTATAAAGAATAAAAATTAAATATTTAAAAAAATTAAAATAAAAACGTGTGGGGGTGGCGGTTGCGGGGTACAGTTCCAATGGATGTTTATATAATGGGGGGGGGGGGGGAATGTCTGCCCCGGGCGCCCATAACTCTGGTTACGCCACTGATACTGATGGACATTATGTGGGCTTGGAATACATAATGTCCATCAATGTACCCTGTCCTAATGTCCCCTGTCAGTGCAGAACCTGGAGGGGGTGGTGAGGGTGTCTGTATGGGGAAGGGGGGGCATTAGCAGGGGCACCACGGCAGGTTCTCTACTAAGCCCCTGCTAATGCCCCCCGAAGCTTCTGCATTGACAGGAGACATTACGACAGGGGACACTATTGGATATTATGTGGGCTTGGAATACATAATGACCATCGGTGTCCCCTGTCATAAAGTTCCCTGTCAGTGCAGAAGCTGGGGGAGGGGTGCATTAGCATAGGCTCTGCTGCAGGTAAAAAAATTGCAGCGGAGCCCCCTGCTAATGCCCCCCCCCCATACCCTCCCCAGCTTCTGCACTGACAGAGGACAATATGACAGGGGACACTGATGGACATTATGTATTCTGAGCCCAGTCTGTGTAATAACATTAATTGTGTATTTAATTAACATACATTATGACAGGGGACAGTGATGGATATACATGATGGATATTATGTGGGCTTGGAATGCATAATATCCATCAGTGTCCCCTGTCCTGCCACAGTGCACATCTCCCTATCTGCCTGCCTACCTTTCTCTGATTCCAGCCGACTGAACTATCTGGACTGGAGAGTACAGTAGATACAGCGGCGGATTGATATCTGCTGTACTCTCCAGTGCAGGCCGGAACTATAACTTAATTGTCGGAACTATAACTGATATTAATGCGCCGGCCCGAAAGTGAGGAAATAGTCCCCTCGATCCCCGGGCCATATCACTTTATCGGAGAGCCCGGGGGAGGCCGGGAGAGAGGGGACAGTTTGACACTATGAGGTTCCACAGGCTGAACCACAAATTCCCTCTCTAGTTCTCTCTAATGCAGATGGGCCGGTCTATGCAGACATGACGCCGTGACCCACTGCAGAGGGTGTCGCGACCCACTTTTGGGTCGCGACCCACGAGTTGAGAACCACTGCTTTAAAGTAATTCAGCAAAGGTAAACTCCCTTCTCCCGGCCTGTCACTGGACAGTGAAGAAGCAGCAGCTGTTCATCCCTTTGCCCACTCTACTCTCTCAGCAAGTTTCTTGTCAGCACATGTACATTAACACCATAATGATGGAGGTAAAGTAAACCCTAATGCCTGAACCTAGTTTTGCAACTTGTGCATGTGTCTGTAAAATTGTACACATCTTTGACACTACCTCATGTATCCAGGTGAATTATATCTCGTCTTTTTCCAGGACAAACTAGTCCTTCATTTGGTGGTAAGTGGTTATGGATATCTCCAGATCTGTTTTATTATCAAATAATTTTTTTTTTCTAGAATTAAGCTGTATATTTCCTGCCACTACCATGAGCCTGGTGTGCATAGAGATACTACATATGTGTGAATGATTTGTTGCCTGTACCCATAGTAAGGCCCAGAAACAATATTGTGTATTTTGCATTAGAGGGGGCAAAATACCCAAATATAATTATTATGCATCATACATATGTTATAGACACGTTGCAGTGTGAAAATGCATTACACACCATGCACTACCATGGTGAATATAAAACCTATTCCTATCCTTCCTAAGACACACTGAAACTGGAATGAATGCCGACCCCGACACTACAGGTGCAAATTACACACACGCGATACTCTCCTCACACTATCACAGTAAAAAAATATACAACCTGTCATTTATTTTTATTCTGCCTGAAACATTGACCCTAACCTAACGCATACCCTGATTTATGTATTGCTGCAGCAGCTTAATCTTGGTATTGTTTTTTTCAGTAGGCACCCGGCTTTCACATACAAGTGATCAGATGGCTGTAAAACCACCCAATCACTTGTATGGGGGATAAGTAACATGTGCCCCCTCCACCGCCGCTGCTGACTATTCCGGGATTCGCTTCCCTTGTTGGGGCCCAGGACCAACACGGTGGGTGAACGGGAGGGAGATCAGCACAGATTTGCAGTCTGATCATCTCTCTGGTTTCTGAAATCGGAAGCCAAGAATTTTGTCACTTACGGTTTCTGGTTTTTATTTCTCTGGCTGCTGTGCTCTGGAAGCTGATGAAGCATGATCTGGGCTTCATCAGCTGTAGCTGATGTTGTGATAAAGAGGACCTGTCACTTCCTCTGTGCTCACAAGCTTTTGTTAAACTCTTTGGACATCCACATACAGGATGTCCTGTCACTCGGGGTAAAAGTAGTCATTTGTACCAGCAAAAGAAGGCTAGACTACAAATTGAAAAGACCCATTTCGCCTCAGAGGCCAAGAAGAGTTACTTTCATTACCTCCAAGCTTCCAACCCCCAGGCCAAACCAGGGGCTCAGTTCAATCACAAATAATTGGCCCGTAAATCTCTCAGTTTCAGACAAGTACCTCAGCAGGTAGCATCTGGTCATGGGGAGGGGTCCTTACATCCAGAAGTCTTTCAGGATCTGTGTCACAAGTGGAGGATGCTGGATATAAAACTCTTTGCTTCCAGATTCCACAACAAACTGAACAGATTTGTCTCCAGGTGCATAGATCCTCTGGCAGAAATAGTGAATGCCCTGGTGTCCCATAGGTGCAGCACAGCCTAATCTATGCCTTTTCAACCTCCTACCTTAGCTACTTCACAGGATTGAGATGATGGGCATTCCAGTGATCCTCATAGCTCTGATCTGGGCCAGGAGAACGTGGTATTCAGAACTGATCATCTTTCTGGCAGGTACCCTGATTCTTCTAGATTGAGTGGATCGCCCATCTGAAGAACTAGTTTACCACGCTGCTTCATGGTCGCTGGCCTTAATGGCATGGGTATTGCAATCCAATGCATGGGAGGCAGGAGTCTCTCCGATTCAGTAATTCCCACGCTGTTACAATCTAGGAAATTTTACCTCCTGCAAGGTCTATCATCACACAAGGAAGACTTAATTCATATGGTGCACACAAAATAAAACATTTCACTCTAGGAAACAGGGGAATAATTCTGACCTTCCTGCAATGAGGCCTGGAACGGCATATGGCAAATCTTGGCACTTGCACTCTTAATTTTCAAAGTCTCCCAATTAATTGGTTAAGATTTGCACAGGGTGGCTTCAATGTAGCTCCTCCTGCACAACCACCTGTGCCTCCTGTGGAATTTGAATCTGGTTCTGTCAGCACTTTTAGGGCCTGTTCACATGAGATCAGGTCCTGATCAGCAGACGTGGAGCTGTTGATGCATTGCGTTTTTGGCCGCGTTTTTGATGCGTTCCAGCGGAAAAAAAAAAAACATTTTTTTTTCTTTGCTGGAGTGGGGCTGTTAGTATGTTAGCTGCAGCGCAGTGCGTTTTTGACGCGTTTGCGTATCCGTTCCCGGACCTGACAAAATGTGACATGCAGTATTTTTTCTGTCGTAAGCTGAACGGACTGCGCACGTGAGAACTGGAGCCCATAAAACACATAGGGATACATTTTGAGTGCAGCAGCGTACGGAGCCGGTCAGCACACAAAACGGACGTCGTGTGAACAGGCCCTAAAGGCCTTTTGAACTTATCAGGGATATTCCCCTTTCCAATCACAAGTTGGGTCCCTTGTTGCATCACCTCTGCTAGGAGCATATCTGAGCCAATGTCCTTTTTCACGACCAGATAGGGCTCTTTACAGGACAAGACTAAGGTGTTGCCCAATGCCTAAAGTCACCTTTCTTCCTGATGTGGTTTCGCTTTTTTTACTTCAACCAGGCTATTGCTCTTCAGGTTCTCTGTCCTGCACCGGTACATCAAACTGAAATTTTCCTTCACTGGATGCATGCAGTTTATGATGTGTGGGTTTACTTCTTGGCCACTGCTGTCATAAGAAAGACTGACTATCATTTTGGATGGCCTCTGTACACAGGAACCAGCTTCTTGCTTCACCATTTCTTAGTGGGTTAGACAGATCATTGTTCATGCTTATGATCTTAGAGACAAGGTTCCACCTATTCCTCTAAAAGGTGCACTCCACTAGATCTGTAAGCGCTTCATGTGCATTTCAGCATGAGGCAATTGTTTCCCAGATTTGCAAGGCTGCCACCTAGACATTCTTTACCAGGTGGATGTTCAGGCCTCATCTAATGTCAGCTTTGGGAGTAAAGTCCTTAATGCAGCTGCAAGCTGCCCCCAGTCTTACAGTTTTGTTATGTGGGCCTGCTAATGTTTTGTTACTACTGCTCAGTCCTTAGTTAGACTGCTTCTTTCTAACTTTCACAGGATTTGTGTACTTAAACATAAAATCCGTTTCTTGGAGTTCATCAAGCACTAGGTTTGTAATCTACTCCTAACACTGTTTTTCTACAAAACTGAAGCATAATGGGAGGGTTTATGCCTGACTGGCCAATGGCTTTTTTTTTTTGTTTGCCACTGTCCAAATTCTCCTGAAGCTTGCAGTAAAACCAATTGTCTAAGAATAACCATATCCCGTGTCGCTCACTGAACTCCAACAAACAAATTTTACAGTTTGTATCTTTTTTTGCATTTTAGTGCTGCTGATCTCCTCCAGCCTTTTTTAACAAGTGATATCTACATGCCATTACTCAGGGTGGGTTTCCTAACAGTGAAAATGACTGAACATGCCTGCACATTAAGCACAGGTCACCAATGCTTATAGTCTCTACTGGAAATACTACAGGGTGACATTGCAAAAATTACTGACAGGAAAAAAAGATTTGTCACCCCATAAAAAAAACTTTCATGTCAGGATCACCAGATATTATTTTAATGAAAGCTCCAGATTAAAAAAAAGAAAATCAATAAATTTTTGAAATAATATTCAAGAAGCCCTATCACTAATATAAAGAACCTCCAAAAGCTGTACACTTACCAATCCTGTGGGCAGATAATTAATTTACTGCTCTCTTGCAGCGCTCCAGGTGCTGGGGATGACACTTCTCAGTGTGCTGAAGAGCGTGTTCACCACTAGGTGCTGTGGTTCCTCTCATTAGTCCCTACATAACTTCTGCGTTCTATATTGGCATAGGTTCGGCTAGGGCAACCACAATGGCCAGCATGGGACATGCAATCCTACACAGGGAAGTGTCCGACAGCAGCAGTGCCTGCAGCTCTGTAAAGGTGCCCATACACTGCTCGATTCTCGTACGAGAATCGCGGGAAATCCCGCGATCATACGAGAATCGAACAGTGTGAATGAAGACGTGCGACCGTTTCTACTGTATGGTCGCACGTCTTTTGTCTAAGGATCATGTTAGAAAACCAGCCGAGAATCGTGCGATTTTCGGCTGATTTGAACGGTGCTCGGGAGACAAATGCCGAACGGGCCAGTGTGCGCACGCGCACACTGCCCGTTCAGCATTGCGGTCAACGGAAGCCCGCCCCTCGGTGTGCGGACTTGCGATGATCGAGAGTGCGATCTGCCTGTCCAAGATGGGCAGATCGTACGTTTTTTTAATCACTTTACAACCATCGCAAGACTAAGGTCTTGCGATGGTTGTACAGTGTATGGCCACCTTTAGAGTGTGAACAATTCACTTGCCATCTGCCAGACTGGTAAGTATAAAAAACTCTTTTAATGGTGTCAACTGAGTTTTACCTGTTCGCTCATGGCCCTACAAAATGTTTTTTTTTTAGAACAACTTATTTTCCATCTCAGGAGATGCTGTACGCTTGCCGGACAACTTAGCGATTAAGTCTCCATAAAAACACGAGCGCTAAGAAGTCCTCTTCAGCTTGGTGCAGGAGTCCTGCAGCCAAGCGTTTGTAATTGATTTCTGTCTCTCCCATCAACTTACAGAATAACAGGAATTACATCCTATAGGGCTTCTTGGTGCTCACATTTTTATGGAAACTCGATTACTAACTTGCCGTGTACCATACAGCAGCTTCTGTGTTGAAGGGTAGTATTTGTTACTCAAAATAGAAGCCAAGAGAGAATATATTTATTTCTTATGTCTAATAGGGATGCACTGACACCGGTATTTCAGTATCGAGTGCGAGTATGGATATTTATATTTACCGGTACTTCCGCTAGCATGGAGCAGGCTTCCTGGGCAATCAAGAAGCCGGGTAATGACAGGCCGCCTGGCTTCTTCATTACCCACTGCCCGGCTTCCTGATTTACCGGGAAGCCGACTCCATGTTCCCTCACGGCACTGACGGTCAGAGGAAATCTCCTTCTGACCGGAAGTTCCAGTATCCAGGGTGGGTATCGGAGCATTCGGGTGAGTACAAGTATTCACCCAAATACTCGGTATCGGCACATCCCTAATCATGCACTTACCCTTTAAAGTGTTAAAGCTAATATGAGATTTCAGTGAGAGGGTTTACACTTGCGTTAAAGCCTGATTAAACCTAAATATAAATCAGCTAAATATATTCCAGGCACAGCAAAAGGTGTTCAATGTCTTAAGATGCCCATACACCTTGCGATTATCGTACGATAATGGCGAGAAATCCCGCGATCGTACGATAATCGCAAGGTGTATGGAAGGCGTGCGACCTCTGCTACTGTAAGGTCGCACGACTTTTGTCTTAAGAGCATGTTCGAAAACCCGCCAACAATCGTACGATTCTCGGCGGGTTTGTGACATGCTCGTAAGACAAATGCCGAACGGGCCGGTGTGCGCAAGCGCACACTGCCCGTTTAGCATTGCAGTCATCGGAAGCCTGCCCCTCAGGGGGGCGGGCTTGCGATGATCGCAAGTACCATCTGCCTGTCCAAGATGGGCAGATCGTACATTTTTTAAATTACCTTACAACCCTCGCAAGACAAAAGTTTGCGAGGGTTGTAAGGTCTACGGCCAGCTTTACAGATAGTTTTCTTTCTAAAGTAGCTACAGCCTATGTAGAAAATCCTGTCACCAGAGATGGATCCTTGATTACTGTGTGTGGAGGCAGTGGTGTCACTGCATAGCTCTGAAACACCCCCTACTGAGTCAAAGCTAGAGCTCTCCAATCAGCAAAGCTCATTCTCCCTGCTGACTGGATAGCTCTGTTCTAAGAAATGACTCAGCAGGGGTCGTGTCTGACCTCTTTAGAGAGACCACTGCTTTCCCACAGGGAGCAATGATTCCTCTCTGCAGAATGTCATTACTCAGCCTGTGGCTGCTTTATAATGTAGATCTTAAGGATTTTTTTATTTTACATTTGTTGATCTCCCCTCCTGTGTTACATTAAAAAAAATGTCCACATTTTTACTTACCCTCTCCATGCTCTATAGCTGTCCCCTTGCATGGTCCAGCAGTGAAGTCGAGCCTGTCATATACGTACCCTCCTAGGGTTGCATCATCATGCAGACTGAACAGCGCTCACATGCCATTATGTGAGCGCCGCTCAGTCCTGAAAGAATGCCCGTCCCTGGAAGAAGTTCTGGTGACATTATCGCCTAGTAAGAAAGCTGCTGGGAATAAAATGTAGATAGATGGACACTTTAAAGAAAATAAGCTGCAAGACTGTGCACATCTTTTCTTTTCATGCACCTGAAATGCATTTAGCTGATGAAACTGCTAGTTGAATTGTAGTTTAGCTGATTGCTGTATGTGACAACTTACATAGCATAAGTTACATGTGCTCATACAACATAAAGGGAAATATATGCAGAGCAAAATCAGGGACCACTGCACACATCCCAACACCAAACATACACCATTTTTCCCTGGGCTGGATAGATTTTCCCATAGCCCTTCTTATTAAATTCCATTGCACAGACAGCAGTAGTGCCTCCCAGTGCAGCAATGACTAGGCCTCTTTCTGCCACACTGTAGGAGTAAAGTAACCCACACAACTCTTAACACCCCCCTCATCACCAGTGTAACCTGTCGCCAAACTAATACTCCCTCCCTAACCTCCCCCACACTGCTTTCCACCCCGTGACATACAGCCTCAGCCCTCACAACCCTAAAAATACCACCCCCGACATTCCAAACGTACCAGTATTGCCCCTGCCCACATTCCACCTTGTACACCAGATACCCCCCCAAAACCATTAATCCTAACATGCAAACGTGCACTTACCATCTTCAACCGCCTCCTCCTCCTCTTTACAGCTCCTCTGGCCTCACCCGCTCACACAAACTCGCCGCGAGAGCGTCTCCCGGCCAAACCCGACAGTCATTGGAGGCCGCTTGCAGGCTCTGGCCGAAAAAGCCGTCTCTGATTGGCTGCTTTTCCACTCTGTCAGCAATCCTGCTCTCTAACTGGTTATCTGTGTCCGCCTCTAGTGACGTAGCAATGAACAGGATAGGTAGCGCAGGAAAAGGCGTCTGCTTTCGACGTTAGCAAAGTCAGCTCAGCGCAAGGAATTTTTGGAAATGTAGTCATTAGAGGTTGGCAGCCACGTGATGTATCCCTCACAGGTCAACAAGGAACGCTAATGCGCGGTTTTCCTTCACTTGATTGATGAAGAATGACATTGCTTATTTGCTATAGGATTCGAACGAGCAACCAAAAAGGGACCTGGTTCAAAAACAAAATAACTTTTTTACACACATTCATGAGGCACAGAAATACATGATTTTACAGTCACCTTGTGATTAAACATTAAAATTTATTTTTTTCTAAGGACCCATTTACACCACCCTGGTCTGCTGCGCTGTAGTGCGTTAAACACACATGTATTGCATTAGGCAGACCATTCATTTAAATGTGTTGATGCTTACCACATCAGACCCAACGCTGCGCTGCATTTTAGCCAATGTGCTGTGGGCACTGCTCTGAAATGCAGGTGCATTAGGTTAAGGTACTATTCAGAATATATGGTACTTCAGTGCATCAAAATGCTTAACGTGCCTTACTTTCCGCTACCACAGCACACTGATGTGAGTGGGCCCTTAAAGCAGATAGGTGCTACCTTACAGCCAACAAAATTGCTGGAATGCTTAAACAGTAAGGCTCCATTCACGTTTAATGTTTGCCTTCCCTGCGCAGCAATGCAAACACTAAAATCTTTCATTGCACAGATTCCGCTGAATTGCTGCTATTATATAGCCGCAAACATGCAGAATCTGTCAAAAAATCACGCTTGGACTATTTTGCGGGCCATGCGGTTTTGTACCACATTAAAGTGCATTGTTTTTTATGTTTAGAGCGGCTCCGCGCATATTCAGCCTGTCGAATACGTGCGGACAACCACTCCTGTGTGAATGGAGCCTTGCAGAAGAGCTTTGAATATCTTTACTAAATCTAGCAGTGCATACCCAGCTTAAAGGAGAACTATGAGGTGAGTGCTTTTCACTCACCTCATACGGTAGTTCTAGCCAACCTGTGACAATGAAACTGTCACAGGTCGGCTCAGTAGATCGGGAGGTGAGCGAACACATACCGGTGTTCGCTCACCTCTCGATCCTGTCACGGCTCTGCTGTGACAGGGGAGGGGCTGGATTCCCCCCGCTCCCCCAGTGCTGACTGGCGGAATGGGAGGGGGCGGGGACAGCTGGCTCTGCTTCTAGATAGGCAGAGCCAGCTGTCACTCACGCAGCTGGGCGGATCCAGACATAATTGTCGGGATCCGCTTCAGCTGCGGCGTCTTAGTATACAGCGAGCAGCAGCTCGCGGTATACTGAGCCTAGGGTGACGGGAGGACACTAGTTTGTGTCCTCTCATTACCCTAAGGAGAACTATGGGGAAAAGCCTTAACCCCATAGTTCTCCTTTAAGTCACTCCCTTCTTAAAAGCCATGCTGCTCATTATAATATACCCTTTACTTCTAACATATTCACCATACATGTGTCTGGTAAGATGCACTAGCAATGTGTACAATGGGAATGAAACCTAGAGAAAGTCTTTTGACATAAGGGGTACAGTATATATGATAGAAGCGGTTTATATGATAGTAGATGGACATCGCAGGACACAGGGGTCATGTGTGACATGGGCAATAGAAGACAGAGGGACATGAGTCATCATGGATGCAGGAGAGAAGAAAAGTGTTGACACCAGTAGATGAGCAAGGATAGTGGCAAATGCAGAATACAAAGTGGAGAACCAAGAAAGGGAAAGAAGAAAGTTAGGGCTGTGAGCCACATGAAAATTGGTGGATAGCGCACTCTGATATCAGGTATTAAATTGGAGTACAGTGGTCTCTGATAAGGGAGGTAGACAGTGGCAGGTGTCATGGAGTAGAGTGTGGCAGCAGAGGAAGAGATTGGCTCAAGGGAGGCAGTAGGAAAGTGCAGACACTGATGAAGATGAAATCAGAAGGGCATGCATGTTTGGCTTTTAAGATAGAGACAAAGAGCAATTCTTGGCAACAAGTGAAGTCATTCTGTTGACTACTAATGCTGTTCAGCAACTTCAACAACTGTGATGAAGCTGAAACGTTCACTTAGTTAACTTGAATGGACAAAGTGACAGTCTCTTCTTCTCTTCCCTCATTGGTACATTTCACATCCACCTTTTGGTCTCTCTAATTGTCCCTCAGTGGTATTCCCTTCTCTCCCCTGCCCCTCCCTTTTGTCCCTTTCTGTATTTCTCCCCGTTTCCTGCTTTCCTTGACAATGTTGACAGGGGATTCTCTGGTCCACATGCCGCTTATCCCACCCTTCTCCCTGTTCCCAATTTAATTTGAAAAGCCTTTACGAAAAGCGGAATCATGGTTCTGAGCTCCTCCACTTCCAATCCTCCTTGCACCACATTAAGGTGACACTAAACTCAGGAGCTAAATCTTAAACATGCATACCTTAACGTAATGCGTACCTTAACTATTAACATACATGTATCTTATTTGTGTATCACTCGGCTGTAGATCCTCAAATCATCTCTGAATTGGTGCCGACACTGTCCTTCCTTCTGGAGGGTGGCTACTTTTGTTCCCCATGGTCCCTGTGTGTGTTGTAAAGTAGTCACCGCTCCAAGCTCTCTCCCGTGAAGGACTACAATCTCAATACAAATTAGTAAAATAAACATGAGATTGTAGTCCATCATGGGAGTGAGTTTGGAGTGGTGGCTACTTTACAACACACACAGGGACCATGGGGAACAAAAGTAGCCACCCACAGGAAGAAAGGACAGTGTCAGCACCAAGTTAAGGTACGCATTATGTTAAGGTATGCATGTTTAAGATTTAGCTCCTGAGTTTAGTGTCACCTTAATTAGTTACTCAGATTCTTTTTGTAACAAGATATGCAATAATATTCACTTCACCTGTCAGTGGCCAAAATGTAATGGCTGATCGGTGTATGTTATAAATGTCCACCTTGTTCCTGGAGAAGTGAACTTTGTTCACAAATCTGATGCCTCTTTGCATCCCTGGCCAAGATTGATATATGAGAAATGTGACATTATGATATTGTGAAACATATGACAGGGGTTGTGCTGAGGTGGAATGACGGATTGAAATTATATTATGTTCCGTAATGTCGTCTCATTGTAGGTGGCAAGGTTAAGGTTTTTTTTTTCTTTTTGTTTATGATGGCTTAAATTCCTCAATGTCATTTCTTACTTTCTTATGTTGGCCTTTGTACCCTTGACCTGGTTGTTGTATAAGTAAGTTGAGCAACTGTGTTGCAAGTATACTGTACCGCTGTCACCAGTGTATCTTTTTCCTGTATTGTTTCAATCTGGTATTAATATGATTCTTGTGAAATACATTTTTATTAGACATGTGCGATTCGTTTCGTTCCGAATCGAAATTCGGACGAATTTTCGGAAATTCGGACATTCGGATGTATCCGAATTACAGACATAACGAATGCAAACGAATCCGAATTTCCATTTCCGAAATTCGGTAGCGGTAGTTCGAACGTTCGTTTCGTATTCTGTTCTTATTCGTTTCTTATTCGTTTTGTTTGTTGCAGCAAAGTGACATTAGAGAAGGAGAAAAAAATGTTTTCCCCCTCAAATGTCACTTTGCTGCAAAGGAATGAACGAAACGAGTAAGAAACGAATAAGAAACGAATAAGAACAGAAAACGAAACGAACGTTCGAACTACCGCTACCGAATTTCGTCCGAATCCGAATTGACTTTCACACCCGAATCCCGAAAAACGAAATAACACAAATCCGAATTTAAAACGAAACTAAACTAAACAAATTTTTTGGCAGTGCACATGTCTAATTTTTATTATGTTATATTTATGACTTCTGTGTGTCTTTAAAGTCCTATTAGCAATTGTCTATATGGTTGACTGAAATCTAGGGATGTGGCACTTCTGACTGTTTTTGCACCTACGACATACAATATTTGGATAAAAAAAAAGTTATTTACTAGCAAATAAAATGTTAGGGGGAAACCTCTTCATTGGAGTCTCAGGCAGAAATAAAATACCGAAAAAATGTTTTGCTCTTGTACACTGTATCCAAAACTAAATACAGTCTGGAAGTTGGGCTTTAATGGGAACATTTTTATGTAACTTAGAAAGTTTGTTGTAACAATGTAGGAAATTCCCTGAGTATTTCCCTGCTTGCTCTTTGTATTACTTAGTAACTGACAGCAAGCTCTAGTGGTTAATTGGTAGGAATCCTTTGGCTGCTGTGGCTAAAAGCAATAGCTTATACCCAAGTGTACTCAGTAGGATCAATAATAAGAGGTATCTCTGCTACTAAAATAAGGTCATAAACCAATTAGTCAGCAGAAGAATATCCCTATACATTATCGACACAGACTGCGGCTATTACTACAGGCTAAGCTGGAGCCAGGAAGGTCTAAAGATACTGCATATGGAACTTTGACAGCTATTATGCAATCTCCATTTTTAAAGGAAACATGTCAGCATAGAAATATGGCAACTGCCTTTTCTAACTTATGTTAAAGGTACAGGGAATTAAGTCACTCACCTGGTTCAAGAACACCGGCTCAGTTTTATGACATCACTGGCTATATGCTTGCCACTCAGTAAGCAAAGATGACAACCTTAAAGCTTGCAACTTTCAAAATGTAATAACAGCAATTATACATTGACAGGTTTGTATACGATAATAAGATCATCCCTGGATTTTGACCATTGTGCCTCATTATACAGCGTGGCAAATAATTATTTGATCCCCTGCAGATCTTGTGAGTTTGGTCTATCATTTTTATCATAGGTGTATTTTAAATGATAGAGACAGAATATCAACCAAAAATCCAGAAAAAAACACATGATATGTTATAAATTGAGTTGCAGTTCACTGAGTATTTGATCCCCATGCAAAACATG